TTTTAAATAAAATATATGTAACTTGTATATACTGGTACCATCTATACAGTATTAATAAAGCATTTTTGCAGAATTATTAAAATAATGTGTGCAAAGTATGTTGTACCTCAAATATAGCTGGTTTACAAAGGTGCTGGGTTTATTTACTTTTTTAAATATGAACTTCCAAATTTGATAGAAGACCTAAGCACTGGCCAGGATACTTACACTCTCTCACATGTCTTTTTAACATTTATATTTCTTCAAGGTAAGTTTTAACTTAATTTATATCTATACAACAGCTTTGTTTTCAAGGTACATTTAGCTTTTAATTATTTCTGGGTAGAGATTTGGGGCAAAGGTAGTTTTGGTATGAATAAAAAGCAGAGAATACGAATAAGGAGTAAAGAGAAGCTGCCTAAGGGTGTATTCCCTTGCTTGGATTACCTGTTCTTGGTCAGGTCCACTGTAGGGACTTGACCCTTGTACCAGATGATATGACAAAGCTGGAGTCATATCATTTATGTGCACATAGATCCAGCTACTGCTCAGATCCACCCACACTCTGACTCCAAGAGCTGCCTGCCAGGTGATGCCATCAGCTGTCTCTGGCCTATATGGCCTCCTGAACCAGAGGCAAACTGGCAGTACTTTAAGTTTGGAAAGTAGCAAACAGGCTAATAAAGAGTCTTTTGCCACCCAGTAAGTTATGCCATGACTAGAGATATTCTGCTTTATTGCATTTGCAACCTCATCTACATGCTGCTGTGTTGCAGTGTGTGGAGTGCCACTTGCAAGATGGAACTCAAATGTCCCTATTAACCCAGTCAGCAACTTGTCTTTTCCTCATTACATCCCCACTGTATGGTCTTATAGCATATTTTTCACACGTTTGTAAAACCCTGGCTAGAACAAAACAGCTTTTGTCTTTCCAGCTCCCAGAACTGAAAGTTGAATCTATGCCTTTAATTCACTGAGCAATTGTAATACTTTCATTGCTGAAATAGGGATTTTGCCTGCATACGTTATTTGTGGGCTGGTAGTTCTGAAACATTGGTAAAATCACCTTAACTAAAACTATTATTGTCACCAAAATGAACAGCTAAAACTCAGAACATACCCAGAAGTATATGTAAAACAAAAGACATTTTTCTGAATTTGCATGTAATGACAGCTATAAGTGTACTGTTCTTGTAATAAAAGTAGCTGTTCTATTTCCATACCTGTCTGTAATTTAGGGCATCTAAAAAGACAGAATCTTCAGCAAAGACAACAGATTTACATGGCATGTTGATTCCTAGAGCAAGTGTTGAAGTAGCTGTGACTACCTATAAAATATCAAACGTGAGTATATCTATTAGAAATGGCAATATCCAATTTAAAAAACCACACCTGTAATATCCAACTCAAATCAACAGGAATTTTCCTATCATTGTTCATATAGCTAAACTTCAATTTGATTAATTTAAAACAGAGCTATGACCATACATGAATTTCACTCATTAGTGTAGTTCGTATAGTTATGACATAATATGCATACTAAACTTTTGTATTCTGAAAGATTATACGATATCTTTTATAGAACACAAATTGAAATATTCCATGAATACAGTACAAAATATCGTAATCCTATAGAGGATTACACATTCAATTGGCTACTGTGGTAAAAAAAATAAAAAATGTTTCTATAAATATATTAGCAACCAAAGTAGGGCTAAGGAGAATCTCCATCCTTTACTGGATGTGGGGGGGAAACATAGCAACAAAGGATGAGGAAAAGGCAGAGGTACTTAATGCTGCCTTTGCCTCAGCCTTTATTAGTAAGACCAGTAGTTCTTGGGGTACCCAGCCCCCTGAGCTGGAAGACAGGGACAGGGAGCAGAATGAAGACCCCATAATCCAAGGGGAAATGGTTAGCGACATGCTACACCACTTACTTACACACACACAGGTCTATGGGGCCAGATGAGATCCACCCAAGGGGACTGAGGGAGCTGGCAGAAATGCTCACCAAGACACTTTCCATTGGTTATCAGCAGTCCTGGCCAATCGGTGAGGTCCCAATTGACTGGAGGTTAGCCAGTGTGACACCCATCCACAAGAAGGGGCAGAAGGAGGATCTGGGGAACTATAGGTCTGTCAATCTGACCTCGGTGCTGTGGCAGGCTATGGAGCAGATCATCTTAAGTGCCATCATGTGGCACATACAGGACAAGGCGATCAGGCCAGTCAGCATGGGTTTATGAAAGGCAGGTTCTGCTTGACTAACCTGATCTCTTTCTATGACCAGGTGATCTGCCTAGTGGACAAGGGAAAGGCTGTGGATGTTGTCTACCTGGACTTTAATAAAGATTTTGACACCATTTCCCACAGCATTTTTCTGGAGAAAACTGGTTGCTCATGGCTTGGATGGGCATACTCTTCACTGGGTAAAAAACAGGCTGGATGGCCAGGCCCAAAGAGTTGTAGTGAATGGAGTTAAATTCAGTTGATGGCCGGTCACAGGTGGTGTTCTCCAGGGCTCAGTACTGGGGCCAGTTCTATTTAACATCTTTATCAATGATCTGGACAAGGGGATTGAGTGCACCCTCTGTAAATTTGCAGACAACACGAAGTTGGGTGGGAGCGTTGATCTGCTTGAGGGTAGGAAGGCTCTACAGAGGGATCTGGACAAGCTGGATCGATCGGCCAAGGCCAACTGTATGAGGTTCAACAAGACTCAGTGCTGGGTCCTGCACTTGGGTCACAACAACCCCATGCAATGCCACAGGGTTGGTGAACAGTGGCTGGAAAGCTGCTGGGCGGAAAAGGACCTGGGGGTGCTGGTCAACAGCCGGCTGAGTATGAGCCAGCATTGTGCCCAGGTGGCCAAGAAGGCCAACAGCTTGTATCAGAAATAGCATGGCCAGCAGGACTAGGGAAGTGATTGCCCCCCTGTACTTGGCACTGGTGAGGCCACACCTTGAATACTGTATTCAGTTTTGGGCCCCTCACTACAAGAAGGACATTGAGGTGCTGGAGCATGTCCAGTGAAGAGTGACAAAGCTGATGAAGGGTCTAGAGAAGAAGTCTTATGAGGAGCAGCTGAGGGAACTAGGGCTGTTTAGTCAGGAGAAAAGGAGGCTGAATAGAGACATTATTGCTGTCTACAACTACTTGAAAGGAGGTTGTAGCGATGTGGATGTTGGTCTCTTCTCCCAAGTTACAAGGGGTAAGACGAGCAAACATGGCCTAAAGTTGTGCCAGGGGAGGTTTAGATTGGATATTAGGAAAAATTTCTTCACCAAAAGGGTCGTTAAGCACTGGAAGAGGCTGCCTAGGGAAGTGGTTGAGTCACCATCCCTGGACGTATTTTAAAAATGCATAGATGTGGTGCTTAGGGACATGGTTTAGTGGTGGACTTGGCAGTGCTAGGTTAACAGCTGGACTCAATGATCTTAAAGGTCTTTTCCAACCTGTATGATTCTATGATATGTTAATCTGAAGGATCGAAACATTTAGTTAGAAATAAAGTTCTACAGCTATCAGTTCACTTAGTTTATTTGTTTGGAAATCTTCATGTCAACATTTTTTAAATGAGCATAAGAAAGTCAATGCAATATATTTTACTACTGGTGAAAGGTACACTATATTTTTTTAATTAAATACATAGAGAAACTAACATTTTTTTAAAAAAAGAACTGATCCTCATTTACCAACCTTGATATATCCCAGCCTGAAAAGCATCTCCACTACTTGTCTTTCCTTGGCCGTCATAGATCCATGATGATACCCAATGCCCCTCAGTGCCATCATTTGCTGCAGATCACCTCTTCTCTCAAACCTAAGCCGATGAAAAATCTTCCTCAAAGTCTACAAATAAAAAGAAATGTTAAGTATTAACCACAACCAAGTGTTGTTAATGAAAAAAGTCTTATCTGATAAAATTGCAAGCACTACAGAGAAATATCGCTGTTTATGATCTTCAGTAAACCTGAAGCCCAAAGTGTATAATTGGATGTGTACCATCAGTATCTTCATAATGACGACAAATCCAGGCTCTTCAGTACACTTCTATTTTCCCTCCTTTGCAACAAATGCCATTACAACAGTTCCAATTGTCGTACCATGCAGCTAGATGCAACCAGAAATGGCAAGCTTGTATGTTCATGACTCCTACTCAAAGTACGGCCTCATGACCATGTGCTGCACACCACTGTTACAGAACAAATTCCTAAGTAGCTGTCCTGGATTCCACTAGGATAGAGTTAATTTTCACCAGAAGCTGGAATGGCACACAGCCAGGACAGGTGACCCAAACTAGCCAAAGGCAGTATTCCATACCATGTGACATCATGCTTAGTATAAAAGGGGGACTAGGCGGCATAGCTCCAGGGCGCGTGGCTCTGGGACAGTCCGGCTTCAACATGGGTATGAGTGTGCAGTCTGAGTTGTATGGTCGTTGGGTGAGAAACTGTATTGTGTCACCAGTTTTGTACATTCTGTTAAGTACTGTTGTTGTTATTTCCCTCTCCTTTTGCTGTCCCAGTAAACTATGCTTATCCCAACTCACGAGGCTTTTGCCTTTGTCTTCCCATTCTCCTCCCCATACCCCTGGGGAGGGGCGGAGGGGGGTGAGCGAGCGGCCGTTTGGTGCTCAGCTGCTGGCTGGGCCTAAACCACAACAGTAGCTACATGAGGCTGATACTCTTTTGTTCTTGTTTGTCATCTCTGCTCGGTACCACCATCTCATCTCACTAGACAGTTAGAAGCTTCTCTTTCCCCAAACTCAGAAATAGCCCTGAATTAAGCTTTTCCAGTATTTTCTGAACTTAACTCTACAGTTAAGTGCCATATCCAAGCTAATTCTTCACTGCCTTTACCCATAGGCAACTGTGGGAGGCAATGTTCCTTCCATGCTGGCTGACAGCAGTCCAAAAATGCCATTGGGATCCCAAGTTCCCAGGATAAGGAATCATGAAAATTTTCAAGTTCAGTCCCAATACACAGATCTCTTTCAAGACATACCACAATAAGCAGAAAGTATTATCAAGACACTTGATCAAAATTTTGAGCACCTTTTCTCTGAATTAAGAGCTATATATCACAATTACTTTTTTAAATTAAAAAAACCCACCAAAAAACACCAGCCATGAAGACAACTATATGAACCAGAGTTATGTTTCAGGAAGTTTAGACCAGAGGGGATCTCATTAATCAAGGGCTGCTACTGCTGGAAACCATGTCATATAAATCTCTCTCATAAGTTACTCCTTAATTATTTGTATAGAAATATATACATTAATATTTCTGATGGACATTGCAGGTTTTCAGTGCTTTTCTCAAATTTTCTTTCCTCAGCAGGCATAAACACATTGAAGATCATGGAAAATTTTGCTTTGTGGGAACTAGAACTTTTGGACCCTAAAATAATTTATTATTTAATATTTTTACAAGGTATGATGGGCTTAAAAATGTTTTGATAAGCACACAAAGGTACCATATAGCCTATGCTGATGACTCAGAAAAACAGGAGTCAGATCTGAATCGATAAGTAATAGAACTGCATTGTTGATAGTTCATGGAAATTAATTAATTGTAGTATACATCCCAGGACTCCTGTTACAAGGACAAGTCAACATTTTTTTATTTGGCAGAAAGTTGTCCATACATCTTAAAAATAAAGTTATCTAAGATTGATACCTGGAATTAAATTTAAATGGAAATATTCAGAATGTTTTGTGAAGTCAATGTGTACTGTTATGAAGTACAACTGCATCACACATTATATGCATTTTACCTACTTATGCACAAATTCATGCACTGTAGACATACAAAACCAAAACCATGTTATAATTATCAGTGAATTACTTACACCTTCATCCACTGCTTTAGGATCAGCATAAGTACACAGAGGAGGGATAGCAGTTAGCCTTTTAAGTCTTTTTTGTAACTGTTGTTTTGTAGTCAAAAGTACCACCATGTTTTCCATTTTACTGGAGCTCAACTTTTTGGTATCCCTGTATATAATATACGATTAAACATATTATTTCTGTAATTAACATACATTTCTCAATTTCAAAATATTATTTGGGTACTGAAAGATATAGACTCATTCCCTTTTAAACCATAGGCTCAAACACGTAGGTAGATCTATTATTGTAAATTTACTGACAATTCTAACAGCTTCCTTTTATCATGGCTTGTATGCAAAACAGCAATTAATTCTGGGTGAAGTAGAGAGGAAGAATTATGGTGATATACAAAAATGAAGGAAGATTAAGACAGCAACTATAAGTACCTCATTTAGCAAATTAGTAAGTGAACAAGATTGCACAGTAGAAGAATTAAACATGAAAGAGAAGTGTGATTGATTTTCTGCCAATAATGACATGAACTGCAAGGATTTAGGACAGGATTTGAAGAAGAGTGGAGAGGGAAAACTATTTAGAGGCAGATTTTCAAGCTACTTCAATGCCTAAATATGTGTCTAAATTGGTACTGGATTTTCAAGTTCTCACTACTATTAAAGTCAGCTAAGTTCATTCTTTCATGATATTATGTCCAAAGAACGCACTGTAAATTGTCATGATTAGGACAGAAAAAACATGATGCTTTATGTTGCTGACAATCCTGATAACTATAGCCATATTTCATTTCCAAATGCCTTATAAAAATCCATACTCTATGATCACAAAAATCAGGAAAATTCAAGGTTAAAGGGGAATCAAATATAGTACAATCCAAGCAAAAGGCTGACAAATATTCAAAAAACATCTCACCAGTCAGGTGAACCTGTGCTTCAGAGATCCACCACTGTAACAAGTCATGGTGAGACTAAACTATGAAAATACTATCCCACAGTGGCTGACCCATCACCAGGGTCAGATGCTACACTGTTTTTAAGAGATGGATGACAAAAGTTACTGTCTGGAGAAAGAACCGTTCTGATATCTTGGTATCTCAGTAGTGAATTATTTCAAAGTAACCAGTCTCACATACTCATCTCTCTCTGATTCCTATGTTGTGCCAGCACCTTACACAGTGTCAGCAACGCTGGTATGTTCCTGCTGCCTGACTATGCACTAGGTACTTCTGATTGATACCTGCCATACAGTTGCTCCTACTGTGTGAGCACAAAAAGGAGCAGGTACTACTATACTGCAAACCGGATGAATGTGCTGCTGTAAGGTACATTCCCCAGAAACAATTTGTCACAAAAATATGCTCTGTCATAATATGGAAGCTTTTAAATAATATATAGTTATAATACTTACTGAGGGTTGAATTTTATTAGCATTTTATTCACTTTTCTTAGTTCGTCCATTAAACGTTCTTTTTCCCTCTTGGTATTAGGGTTTTGTTCACTCCTTTGCTTTTTCAGCAAATTGAGGAATACATTCCTGGCTGCACATTCCACTGAATCCATGTTAAATCTTAAAGTAAATAATATATAATATACATCAGTTAGGTGAACTATAATAGAGTTTTTATTTATATGTAGTGCTGTTACAATAATATTCAGTGAGCCTTATCATCTGACAATAGTCAAAATCTAATCATTAGAAGCATATGCCTATTCCATCTCAAAATCATAGTCCACATTCACTTTCAAATTGCTATTATTCCAAAACTGACTGGTAAAATGTAAAATGGTTCTGTCCAGAAACTATCTATAGAAACTATGTTCAACTCTACCTTTCCCTAAGCTGGATACTTGGGCATACAGATAAAGCAAACTGTAGCTTAAGTAATTTTAATTTTTCTCAACTACCCAGTTGAGAATCACTGCTTGTCTTGGTCATCTACACAGCTGTTCTTCCTCATAGCTTTTTCAGTATTGGACTGTTTGGAGTTTAACTGTCATGAAGACTTCTCCAGCTTCACTCTCAAAAAGTGATTTTTTTATTCTTGTTGCAGCAAACAGATCCTGTTAACTAACAGCATACAAGGTGTTGGCAACACATGGGAAGGCTGCATCTTAGTCCATTAAAATATTCATAAGTCATTCAAATTTGAATGTCACCAAGAACAGGAGCAAAAATTGAAGGACTTTATCCTTTTATCTAGAAAGACCAAATCTAGATTTTAAAGCTAGGAGCCTCTTAACTTAAAGAGGCTAAAAGCCTCTTAACTTAAGCTTTTCACATCTTCAGGGATGACAGACCTCAATAACAGTCATTTGCCATATACTCTTCCCCCCCCCGCCGCCCCTTTGAAGCTCAGACTGAATGATCTCATTTCTCTCTGTCATTGAGTTTATTCAGCCATAAGGAGTACTAAAGTGGTGCCAGCCTGTTCTTTACCTTGGTGGCTTTAAAAGAAAAGAAAAGCAAACTCTAAGTACTGTTTTATCCCTACCACCAATGGCTACAATAGCAATTTGCCTTCTCCAGCTCTGATACCTGCTCTCTCAGGAGTCTCCATTAATTCCATGCTAACATAACACCATACAGGATGACTGCTTTGCAACCTCTTTAATCAATAATGGCTTAGGAAGAAAAAGCTTACCAGCACCAATAAAGCATAAATATCCATCTATTACTCCAAGTCACTGTCTGCTACTTGTGAGGGCTATTCATCTCCATCTCCATCACGATTTCTCAGGACTGGGACATTTAAATAGAGATTTTTTTTTTTTTTTTTTTTTTGTCCCAACTCTTGTCCCTTATCTAACTACAAAGACACTGGGGAGGTCTACCAACTGCTGTTACACTGCACCTGTGCCTTAAAAGATGTATTGATGTTAAGGCACAGCAACTGAGAATCTGACTCATTTTAATGTGATTCAGTTTCTTCTAATTTTCTCAGACATCATGCATGGATTTTACCCTTTCCACACAGTAATTAAATGCTCCCAGTTTTATTTTGGTTAAACTTTTAGTGCCATAAAGATGCATGGGCTGATAGAGCTTGTAGGCCTTTACTTTGTATGTTTTACATTAGAGGCAACAAATACCATATAAATGGCATTTGCCAAGCCATATCAATGATAATCTCTAAACTCCATTTTTCTGAATATAGGCAGTACACATAATACATGGAATGTAAATACTTACATAAAAAATATGGCAGGCAACTTATCCATCTCATGTAATTTATCAACAAAGCTTGCAAAACGCTTCCACTTTTCATGTTCTGAGCAATCCACAGGTTTTGGCTTAAGGTGCTCCAGTAGTTCATTCACCTGACCAAAGCAGTATTATTGTGGAGATTTTAATGGCTGGCCAGAGGCTAACAAATATGAAGACTCCATTTTCCTGTGTCTACTTCTATCAGCTCAATTTTTTTAAATCATTCAGAACTGCAATAGCAACATATAGTTTACAGACTAAAAGGTCTGCAAGTTATCAACTGACTTTCTAAGAGTTCAAAATGCAAATTGTTGTAGCATTCATTGCTACCATCACTGTGAAAATAATAAAGTATCACTCACATACCAATTATGATATATTTTCAGATTTAAGCATCATATTTCAAGAAACTTATTTTTTCACCAGATATTCTTTTTTTTTTCCTTTTTGTCAATTCACCACCTCCTCATATTCCTTTTTATGATATAGGAATAGGTGGCCTCCAGTCAAGGACTTGATTTTCTGCTCATTGCTTTAATTTCTTTTACATGGAAACAGATATACTGTCTGTGGTTACACAGAAGGTTTCAAATGAGCAGCAAAAAAGAGGTAGACTAAAAAAGCAGAGCAATGGTACAATATTCTCACCTACCTCTCACTAGGAGATACCTAAAAGAATCAGAAATTGAAATCCCACAGCAGTATCAGAAGTCTGATTCCCAGAGAAGCTGGTGAAAACAACACCTTGAAAATGTTTATGGAAATGCCACAAATATTAGTGCTTATCTTTCAAGTACAGCAGCAGTTACACCTAGTAAATAATAATTATGGGAGAATAAACTCCCATAAGTATATTATTACATATAATTATTATTATTTTAAAGCTGTACCAAATCTTAAGAAAGCACCCTGCAACAACTGTTACCTTCTGTCTTTGACCAAGCACAATCCATTTGCTTAGTTCTTTCTTCAGTTCCTGTTCATATTGCCTCACATCTGCCTTTTTTATTACTACTATATTCTTGAAAGAGACGAACTCCTCAGGATCTAGCTCCTGGAAAACAACATCAATGTTAAACATTAACTGTTTTTTTGATATATTTTGCCCACAGCTGTGTATACACACCTGTGCTCTTGGCCACTCTTGCCAGACTTTCACCATTGTGTCGTAAAGCTGGATGCTCTCTCGTGGAGACAGAGAAAGATCTGAAGGAATGCCATAGTTCTCAATCTGCAAGGAGTTTAAACAAAAGAAAAATAAAGGAATCATTTTGATGGAATCCATTTTGCCTAAATGTAACAGTTGCTAAACAACGTTGGCACTGGTATTATGCTTACATGATTGACTGTTAGTGCAGCACACGGATGACAATGCTCAATCATAAAATCATTGCCCTTTAGAGAACACACATACTTTTCCAAATCATTGTATCTTTCTTCATACAAGACTGTGAAGAGACAAAAATGCTGTCAGGATGCACTTGGTTGTTTTAAAAGCAAGTACTTATTCCTGCAAGATTTGTTTTTCTTTAAAAGAAAAACCAAAACAAAATACACCTAAATTCACACACCGTGATTAAAGTTTTTGCAGAAATAACACTAAAATTTATTTCTTAGTTAGAAAATACTCTGATACACACCTAGTCTAACACGGTATGATTTGTTTTGTTCTGGTACTTTAGATTTCACTTTACATTTTCTTGTAAAGTTCTTTTCAGAGGTTGTAGAGCTTCCTTCTATTCTATTCTCAGCATGTTGCCAATACCTTTTCACAGATTGTAACCACCTACAGTGCAAGAATAAAATAAAAATAAGAGTTGTAAAAAATATTTTAAGGAAATTGCTACAGCTATAATAGATTAATTCCTACAATCTGCTCAATTTCTCCCACAGAATTTCCAGTCCCCCTCTCACAATCTTCAGTGCAATTTTCTCCAGCTTATCCCAGGGTGCAAATAAAAAACTGAAATAGCACCATTACATATATATTTTTATAT